TTTGTTATACGTAACAAAAAGAGATGAAGTAGCTACACACGTATGTGAATATGAATTAGAAATATATTTTATAATGTGTGTACACATCATAAAATATAATTCTAATACAATTTAATTGCAATATTTTGTATAAATAAACATAGGGAATATATCATAATATCTCGGCATAAATTATTTCTAACTCTAATTTGTGTAGATATTCACACATCATAATACACACACATGCAATATTCTAATTTTGAGAAAAACAATTATTATATAGGGGACTTTAAATCTATAAAATATGCGTATAACTAACATAAATCAAGGCTAATGAGGCAATATAGATATACAACGAAAAACTCACATATCCAAGAAGATTGTGTCACTTATAAATTTCCAAAGATGAAGTGATGTAAAATTTTAGTAGATAGATTTATATAAATGTAACTTTGTGATCAATTATGTATCAAAGCTTCTTGATACGCTCTCTATCTATTAAAATTTTACCACTTCATCTCTGGAAATTTGTGAGTGACAATCTTTTCGTATTTATGAGCTTTTCATAATATATTTATATTGCTGAAGAGGACTCCAAAGTGAGTTGAAATGTACAAAGTAAAGAAAATATCTTTTATAAGAGGATTCGTAATTTTTTTTTGAGATGTTACATCTGATCATCTACGTTTGACTCTCATTAGCTTTGATTTATGTTAGTTATATTCTGACATTGAAAATATAAAAGCATATATCATTAATATCTGTACATTTGACCATAAAAAACATATCTCTTTTTATTAAACGTAGGAAAAAGAGATAAAGTAGGCCTTGGACATAGAGGAAAGTACTATTACGAATACTGCTATGTACTGCCAGTACTGAAAATTTAATATACATAATGTAAACTATGGATTTTTATTACTAACAGTGTACTGATATATTAGCCACTAAGCATTAGTCATTAGTCATTTACTAAAACACTTTGAATATGATATACATATTCACATTTCATAAACTTATAGCGTCGTATGAAAATTATGCGTATGACTATTGATCGTGTAATGTATGTTATATATATGTATAGCACATTTATATGTATAATATATATATTATATAAAGTGTTCAAAAAGATCCTGGATTTATGATAAATAAAGATGACTATAACTAATCGTGAAGGAATGTGAATACTTGTATTGGCATACATAGTACGCCAAAATATAGTGCGTTGACCTATGACTATGATTTACGTTCTATGGCTCAATTACGGCCATCCTTGTGCTAAGGCCATCATATAACGTTTCTGGAAAAAGCTTCAGACAAAAGTTGTAAGTTTTCAAAGAAGCAATTTACTGACATTCAGTTTGACCTTGAATCTGCAGGGTCAGATCAAGATCACATTCATGTTTTTTTAATGAAACAAACTATTTTTATTGTAGACTCTACACATAATACACAGTTATTATTGATATGTTGACTTATACGAGGATATAAGTTCGAAAAGTTCTCAGTTTAATACAGAATTGATTCCACAAATATCAAACTGTTATAATTTTAGAAAAGTTTGATCCTTCTCAAGATTTACTGTTAAAATTTCAGACAGATGTGTTCATTAATTTCTTTATTTCGGTCGTGTCAAGCAATCAGTTTTTGATTTCATCATGACAATGCATCATTCACATTTCTTTAATTGCAGATGCAAAATTCTACAAATTAATTTTGCAATTGTATTTCACTAGATCTGATAATCGAAATGTCTCTGGTAGTAAATTAAAAATAGTCAGCCCACGATGAACGCCTCTGACATTGGATCATAATTATAATAGGCAAAGCGCAATTTATTGTTATAACAATAAATTTAATCATATCACTTGTATGATAAATAAAAGTGATATTTTCACTTTATATACACACATACACACACATACACGCGCGCGTGTATATATGGGTGTGTAGAACATTACTATTCTATACTGAATTGATAGTACTGTTGCGCGGCAATGATACTGTGAATGCGGGTCATACTGGTTACAACTGATTGACTCGTATAACGCTATTATTTTCTATGCGTACAGCGTCATGCAAAACGATATACATATGCATATACATATACACACATACATACAAAAAATTTTCATTTTTCACATTTTCATCCTGCGAAAAAAGATACATAATCGATATCATTGTCACATTATCTTCTTCTTAACGATTAATTAACGACTAATTAAGAAGAGGCGTTCATCGTATCTGGATTATTGTAAAAACTCTCTATTATTTTTGAAGTTCTATTATTAATATAACGTTATTTAAGTGCATTCTCCAGGTTTATTTCACAAAAAAAATACAAACAAATATATGACTAGATATATGACGTGGTAAAGTAAAATTCTAATAATATATTGACATCATTCTATAATTATATTAATCATCGCACTTTTGAGATTTGGTTTATTATCAGAATTTATTTTTTATTTTCATACATTTGGATGATAGTTATAAAAGAAACATTTAACAGAAAGTACTGATCGACATCAAACGTAACATTATTACAAAAACATGATTTCTTTTCGGATTTTTTCTAAAAGTCAACTGATTTCATATAAAAATGCTGATTTTCTATCTATTCGATGCATACTACGTCGAATTATTTTTACTACAATTGTCGGTTTAATACTTTTAGAAATACACATATAATTTCAAAAATTAAATAAAAATATATTTGGCTTGTAACATGTGTTTATTAACAATGTCACTTATTTAAAAAAAAAATGACAAAAAAAGGAATGGATCGTGGGATCTCTAACATTCTGATCTCGCACTCTACGCGCGAGACCATGCCGAGGTCTTGCGAATCACTTCTATGAAC